AGGAGGATCGTCTGGACGAGGCGCTGGCTACAAGCGTGTACTCCGCTGTTGAAGTGACGGCAGCGTTCAGCGTCATTCGCCGTTGTATCGGCCACATGAAGGGAACCAGGCTGTCGCACCTGGACAGCCTTGATAAGATCGAGACTAGGATCTTCAACATTTCAAATACGAAGCAGGCCACGATAAGCGATTTTTTTCATGCAAATCAATCATTCTGTTGCGGCGTGTGTGTGGAATTAGTTGTCATTCTTGAATGCGCCTGTTTTAGGTGATGTTCCGCTACAGGTAAGCTATCGGGGCCTGTATTTCTTTATATCAAATTTTTCATATATCGAACTAATTTGCGATTCCCTTCGAGTTCGATATATCTGTGTTCAACTGTGATTTCTGTATGAAGGACCTTATGCAGCCTTTCCAGGTAGGAGAGGACATTGGAATGCTTCTCACGAACTATGAAAAGACATGCCAAAGAATGAAACTTTCTAAAGCGTCGTGGGCACAGTGCCTGTTGACCGTTTTGCAGAGTCAAGTAGCAGACGCGAGGGGGAGGCTTAGGGCAGAAGAGTGCCAGGAGGCTTAGGGCAGAAGAGTGCCAGTACTATGATGTTGTAAAATCGAGTCTCCTTAAGAGGTACCGCTTGTCTCCAGAGGCGATTCGCCAGAGTTTCCGGATAGTCACCAAGTTGATCGACGAGTCTTACGTTGAGTACGGGTATGTCTTGAAGCTCAACTTCGTGGAATGGTTTAAGAGCGTGTAGGTTTAAAGAGACATGACGAAGGTTGTCGAATGCCTTTGCCTGGAGCAGTTTTACAACAAGATTCCCGACGCAATGTTTTTGTAAATTCTTGACAGGATAGTGGCTGCGGATCCTTGTCCATCACGTTAATGCCACCACAGCGGAGAAGCTGTTATGAATGTGCTACGGGTTGTGCAGTGCTCTTCCCCTTCCTCAACCTGACACTGAGTGCGTCCGTCAAAGACACTGAGTGCATCCGTGAAAGCCAATGAGTGTGTCCGTCATGGACACTGTGCACGTCCCTAAGATGCATATCAGCCTTGACCATGTAGGTATGCCCTACTCTTCAAGCGTCTTGGCGTCTAAAAAAGGCCGGCGCATCAGGCGTCTAAGCTCTTCCTCATCCACATGTTTTGTACATATGTTGTAAATTAAACATTTTATTTTCTTGTGGCTGCCCTTTGCCTTGCCACTGCCTGAATGCTCCCTGCCCGGTGTTGGACCTTGTGACGCGCTACCCAAAAGATTGTGGGACCTCTCCTAACAGTAGAGAGCTTCTGGCCATATATGCAGCTATACGACATTTCTGCCACTATGTAGAAGGTCGAGAATTTTTCCTGCTTGCAGATCACAAGCCGCTAACTTACGCATTGCACGCGATCAACTCAGATACTGGTGCACATGTGGCACGAGAGCTCCGCCAAATGTCTTACATTGCAGAATCCACAATGAATACATGCCATGCCAGTGGGAAGGACAATGCAGCGGCCGATGCTCTTTCGTGCAGCTCCGTGAACACTATCAGCCTACCAAGCGGCATATGCAGCTATACGACATTTCCGCCAGTACGTAGAAAGTCGAGAATTGTTTGTGCTCGCGGATCACAAGCCGTTGACTTATGCATTGCACGCGATCAACTCAGGTACTTGTGCACATGTGGCCCGAAAACTCCGGCAAATGTCTTACATCGCAGAATCCAGAATAGATACATGCCATGCCAGTGGGAAGGACAATCCAGCGGCCGATGCTCTTTCATGCAGCCCAGTGAACGCCTTCAGCCTACCAAGCGGCATTGAATTCACCACACTAACGACGGCTCAACACAGCGATCCAGTGTTGAAGCACTTACTGAAGACCACAACCAGCCTTGAAGCTGGAATGGCTGGATGTACCAACAAGACCTGTATGTTGTGACATGTCCACTGGTAGGGCCAGGCTGTTCGTGCCCACGGGTCTTCACCATAACATTTATGAATCGCTGAACGGCCTCTCGAATCAGGGAATCGGAGCCACTCAGCGGCTCTACACAGCTCGGTACGTGTGGCCTGGAATAAACCCGGACATCCGACGTTGCACTCTTGAGTGCCTATCCTGTCAGCGCTTCAAAGTGCAGCACCATTCTGTGACCCCCCCTAGGCTTTTTTTCCCCCGAGCCAGATACTCAATTTTCCCATGTGCATTTGGACATTTAGGAACCATTGCCGTATTGTCAAGGTCAAAACTACTTGATAACTTGCGTCGACCGCTTCACGCGATGGCCGGAGGCCGTCCCCATCCCAGATATCACTGCTACGGCTGCCCCGCTATCATCTGCCACTGGGTAGTGCAATTCGGTGTTTCATCGACTATGACAACTGATCGTGAAATGCAATTAGAGTCTGCCTGCCTAATCGGGAACATCACACGGAATCCGGCACATCCTAACAATGGCCAACCATCTCATCAGCAATGCTATGGTGGAAAGGTTCCATCGCCAAATGAAAACTAGCCTACAGTAACTTCAAGTCACAGTTGAGTTGAGGCTCTACCTCTGGTTTGCTTGGGAATTAGGTCGGGTCTGAAAGCGGACGTTGGCTGCTGCTCGGTTGAACTCGTATACGGCACAACACTTCACCTTCCGGGGGAGTTTCTTGCCGACAGTAAAAATGCAAACGCCCAGGCCAACAGAGAGTATGCTCCGTGACTGCAGTACATTATGAGCACGCTGTGCCCTGTTCCTCCGTGTCTGCCAGCACCACAGCTCGTCCACGTCCCCAGTGATCTCTCCACCTGTTCTCACGTGTTTGTGAAGCACGAGGCTCTACAGCGTCCACTCCAGCCCCTTTTGTGATGGGCCGTTCAAGGTGGGTAAAATGAGGAGAAAAGCATATCACGATCGACAGAGGTGGCCACCATGACGTGGTTTCACTTGAACGCATAAAAACATCACACAGGGACAGCAACAGTGAAGTGCATTCCCCATCTTGATTTCCACAGCCAGAAAGGCTACCAGAATACCAAACTGAACCAGCCCAACCATTCGTCGAAAGGTTGATGCGCAGTGGATAAGGCACAACACTTCCGGAGCCAATGAACTCATGAACCACAACGTGGTGTTGACCCATTTACTAAGGGGGGAGTTTTGTAGCACCTTTTCTGCGAAGAATGCCAACAACGCAAGCACAAAGAATCATGTGGCTTTTCTTCATGCACTTCAAAAGAAATAAAAGTTCAGTTGTTGTTTGGGACACATATGGATTATCTCGCTTGCGCAACCTGCTCGCCCAGCTCGACCTAGCAGTGCGTTCCAGCAAGTCGAACCCCTTTATGAAACACACTGATGTAAGACAAATGGGTTTCAGAGGCACCAGTGCACCTACTTTGAAATAGGTGTTGATAAGAAAATGTACACGAGGTATGCCCTGCTTTTAAGAGACATCTCATATGAAAGACAAGAATTGCCCCCTGCAGTGGTGGAAGTGACTTTTTACTTTTTCGAGCATACTTTGGACTCAGGAGCAGGAAAAATAGTGCTTTGGAGCAATGATAAAATGCTAGTTTAAAACAGCTATTATGCTAAAAAATGCAGCATTTTGTAAATATTATTATTTCTTATGAAATATATTTAACAGACAGCAATCAATGCAAGTTTTATGAAATGAACAGTACAATATTGTCAAAAATGTGCTGTGAAATTAGCTACAATACAGATACTAGTATTCATGGCCGAAATCAAATCAAACTGCGCCACATTTCAGGAGTAATCAAAGTCCCACATAACTGTTGCCAAATAATTACTAGATGATCGGTACGAGATGAAAGCAATTCTGCTCATGTTCGCCACACTAGCCTGCATGTCTAGCCGAGAAAAAAAAACTGCCAAATGAGCGATATGCTTGGCATGCCAGTTCTTGTCGCACAAATGAGATCAGAGGCGACAATGCTGTACACTAGTGCACACCAGTGGCACACTCACATAATAGTACACAGATTCTTTCCAGTTTTCGTAGGACTTACGAGTCTGTCAAATAGCAAGAATTCATTGTTCTTATTGTCTCAATGTACTTCAAAGCAGGTTTAGAGAAATTAGTAACAAAAACTACTGTTTGGAGCAGCATGGAGCAGGATTTCTCTTTTGGGGCAGTTTGGAGCAATTGGAGCAACACTTCTATCACTGTCCCCGGTGCATGTCTCTTATAAAGGCACATGTCTCAACTGTACTACTACGGCTATCTCGTACACTTTCCATGGCATCCTATCCTTGTGTGTTAGTTCAGTTCTCATAAATAAAATATAGGTGCTCTATAAGTGTTTCAGGACCCTGTTATCTACCAACATACCATGGGGTCACAGCGTGTGGTAGTACAAACATTTTGTTCAGCAAGATCTGACCATTAACTTATTTTATCTTTGCAATATGCACCTCCCTTTGACTGTATGACCACAAAACAATAGTACTTTGCTTTCCCTACCCAAGTATGATTTCAAGCTTTCTAAAACAAGGAGTGATCTTGCAATTATGATTCGATTCAATAAAACAATGCAACACATGAATGAAGAAGCAAGTCATGGCAGGCAAGCCTCCGACCCACAGCATTGGAATGCGCCTCTCAGCCCACCGGTTTGCTGTACTAAACGAGAGGTCACAACTTCATTATATTCACTAATGAATTTTGTATTGTTTTCCTGTGTGGCCTTTGTTATCAGGAGTGTGCAAACAGAATAACCTTGAGCTGAATTTAGTACTACCAAAATAATTGCACAGTGAAATGGCACAGGCAAAAAAAACTTACAGTAATTCATGTTTCTGCATGATTTTGATCTTCTTTATCACCTTCAGTGCTGAATATTTTTCATGCACTTTGAAAGTATTTTTGGCTAAATCATTTTGATGCAGCAAAGATAAGGCATTGAAAATGCCAAAACAAGGGGTTTCCGAATTTTTTTTTTTTTTTTTTTCAGGGCGACCCCCATTTAATAAGGTACACTGGCAAGATGACTTACCTTCCTTCACTGCTTCGGCGCAAGCTATCTTCTCCAGACTCGTCTTTGAACAGGCATGGTACAGTCAAGACAACCTATAAAATGACAACAAAAAGGTGTATCGCACCATGCCTTTCTTCATCCATTTTTATTCAACAACTAGGCGACATCATCAGCTTTATACAGAAAATACAGTAGCTTTAAGAAATACAGTAGCAGCTTTAAGAACAGCTGTACTCAAGGTGTCCATAGTGGACACCACAGTGGCGTCAGATGTGACAGCACACAACAGAGAAAAAACTACAGTTTCCTTATGTCTGTGCATAGCCTCCTTTATTTTCTGTGCCCGCGCAGTCAGTCCGCTGGGCCCGTTCGGCCGCCTCCCGCATCCTCCTCTCTTTTTGCGTCTGCTGTCCGCCAGGGGCGCTCGCATCCCAGAATCGAGTCGGCGCATTCAGCCGCGGCGACGCATCTCCAGGAAACCTTTGTTCGTGTCGCATACGTTTGCAACACCAATTACTTACGACCAAAACGGTACGTAGTACTTTCAGCAAGTATAATTGTAACTGTTGCTTCATTGTGTTGCGTGAGCAGATGACACGTGGCATTAACTGAGTGCGTATAAACAAACAACGTCGTTTGTACCCCGCGTTTGCACGGCCGTTGTCAAGCGCGGCTATCATTTCTCGCGCTTCTTTCTGGCAATACTTTTCCGCGCACCTATCTTTGCAGCGTAGTACTTTCAGCAAGTATAATATTTAACTGTTGCTTCATTGTGTTGCGTGAACAGATGACACGCGGCAATAAGTGAGTGCGTGTAAACAAACAACGTCGTTTGCACCTCATGTTTGCAGGGCCGGTTTCATGCTTTGCTATCATTTTTCGCGCTTCTTTCTCGTGAGGCTTTTCCGCGCACCTATCAGCGAATTTCACTAAGTAATCAGGAATGTTAGTTTACGGTTTCTCTCGTTTCTGTCTCGTGCAGCGGCCTACGCACACAAGTCTCCGTGGTTCATTCGGCTGTGATGACCCGCGTCAGGTGCGATGGCGTACTGTTGCGTGCCCGGTTGCAAGTCTTCAAGCAAAAAGAAGGAAGTAGGAATTTCATTCCACGAAATTCCAAGCGACGAGGAGTTGCGGCAAAGGTGGATAAAAGTCATTTCACGAGACAATTGGACGCCGAACACCACTTCCTGCTACTCAACCGTGTGCAGTCGTCATTTCGCTGCTTCTGATTTTAAGCAAGGATGTAAAACACGAAGGCTTATGAAAGGTGTGGTGCCTAGCGTATTCGAAGAATATCCGCGCTACTTGCAGCCTTTGACAAAAGCCCTGAGAAGTGACGCGGCGATCAGAAAAAGAGCCAGTGTGTCAGAATGTCCCACAGCAACGAAAAGGCGAGCCGTGCGTCGTAGCAAGTCCGACTACCCTCCGTGGAATGGTGATGATATCCCTACCAATGGCGACAGGCGCGATATGTCACCACCGGCATGCAGTATCACCTGTGAGGATGGCATCCCTGCTACGAGGCAACAAAGCGATCGAGCTGTACAAGTATCAGTACTTACATTTGTCCCTTCCGTCGAGCGAATGAAGTGGCGACGGAAACAGCGTGACCTCAAAGCACAGATTCGCCGCCTGAGAGAGACTGTAGACAAATATAAGCAAGAACTTGAAAAGCTCAAAGAAGATTGTTACGTTCTTGCCTTTCGTCATATTCGCGAAAAGGCAAACGAAAAGGACGTTCAAGCATTAATACGCAATAAACAAGTTTCTCTACCGTTTCCTTGAAGGTATGGTGTTCTGTTCAATGTGCTATCTTGCGTACTTATTCTTTCTCTCTTGCATATGTTCTCTCCTAAATATTTAAGTGGCACACGGGAGTGGTATCACACTTTTGTTTTTTAAGCTTGCCGCGCTTACAAACGCGCAACGAAGGACCCACCCGTCAGTGCCGGCGGTAGCACCGGAGTCGGTGAACAGGCTCTGCGGGTTCTGGGAAGGCAGCGCCGCCTGGTGGTGGTTGCGGGAACTCAGCCTGACGGTCGGCTCCCTTTGATCCCGGCGGCAAAGCGCAGGCACAGAAAATAAAGGAGGCTATGGTCTGTGTCAGCAAGCTTGACTTCTACATGAAAGCACTTGGTGACAGCACTACATCACAGAAAATCCTAACGAAGGACGAGGTCTCGAGAGAAATCTGAATGATGAGCAGAATGTGCTGGATGACAAAATACATAGCTAAACGATCAATCCCCTTGTGCTCTTGCCTTATTGAAGAAGTCTCAAAACATATTTTCTCCTCGGAAACCTTGCTTCTGATGCAACCGGCTGTCTCGGCCCCCATCAAAACGACAGCACAAGAGAACGAAAAAGGCCGATTCACGGTGTGCTTGTAGTACAATATAAGTAGTCGCCTCTTTTTCTTGATTGGCAACAAAGTTCATAGTTGTGAATAGCGCATGAAAAACACATGCAACACAGATGAATAAAACTACACAGACGCGGGGCGCCAGACTCGCAACTAATTTTTATTCACGTCGACAAACAGATATATACAAGCACGTGGTCCGAAAAACATGTGACACAGCACGAAAGGTTTGTTCTAAATTTCTATTCAAATAATATACCTCCTTTTGTTTTAAGGCGATAGATGAAACGCTGATCCATGAGTTAGTGTTAGAAATGTGCAAAGCCTCTATTATTTCCAGAGTTGTCCGATCGTTACATCCAGTGATGATTTTTTCAAATTGAGGGACACACCTACACTCCCTACAGTGCGCATCTACATGTGATAGGGCATCAGTGAGAACATTGGCCTCATGTTTAGGTACTTTATGAAAAAGTACTTAAAATTGTACTTTATGAAAACTGTAGAGACTGACACTATCCCAAATGTATTCCCCTAAGAAGACTCCAAGACGAAATAGAGGTTCTTTTTTTACACTATAGATCATATTGCTGGGCGTAACATGACGTCACTTAGCTAGTCCCATAAAGCCAACATCTCCACCTGAGACACTTCTATCTCCTCTCCTCCTAAGACTTCTCCGCGCTGGTACATTATTTAACGAACTTTGCTTTCCTTTTGCAGCAAAGTTTTATGTGGCTAGGGCTTTCTGTCTGTCCACCAAAAACCCTCCAGTGACGTCTAGAAAGCAGGGCAAAAAAGAAAAGAAAAACCTCACAGGTTGCTGTATGCATACGCCTAAGACGACTCAAACATGAAAGCCATACTCGAAACTTATATTGTGCTTATTACGATAGCAATTATATGGCCATTCGCGACTAGTCTTTACTGTTGCTGTCATGTTTCGTGCAATGTCCAATCCAAGACCAAATAACACACTCCTTCTACACCCCCCCCCCCCCCCCCCCCGCAACAGATGTTTTACACATGGGTAAAAGTGTGCGACCGGGAAAACCAACGTCACTGAAGCAGAGATTGAAAAAGCCGACCTGTCTCCGTTGTACAGAGGGTGCATGAGATAACATCATCTCACGTGCCAGGCCTGCCATCGATTGCTACGCAAGCAGAGGGGAACGCATCGCCCATCTTGATGAAGCATGACTGAACGCAAGAAGGAAGGGGTGTTGTAGCTCTAGAGCAACAACTTTCGTCTTTAAAGACGCACGTGCTATCTAGACAAGCATTACAGCCTGCTTGTACACCATTCTACGTGTTGTACTCTCAACGCAAACAGACTGTGCGAAAAGTGCTTCAATTCTTGGAGCTGCTGTGTAGGAGTATGCACTGAGCCTTGATCGCAACACTGCCGCCCTATCGTCGCGCCGTTTTGGAGGTCCATTCGTATGCACCGTTCGCGCTGTACGTGCATCAGCGTGCAACAAGTGTTCCAGAGCTGTCTAGTCACCCAAGTCACCATACAAATATCGAGCACAGCGCAAACAGAAATTCTTTTGTGCGTGCAACGAGTGCGCGGACCTTCGAAATGGTAACCCCACCACTAGTGCTCCTCGCAGATGACGTCAAATTGGATCTTTTGAACCCGATATCGCGTAACTCAATAGGACGCTGCTTAAAGAGACTATGGCCACCCCAGGTGCCGATGCAGTTGTCATGTCACTTAAACCTGAAGCAGACGTTAATAGAATAGCACAGAACAGTCACGAGCAGTTTCATGATGCCCTTCGAGTGACGCAGCCTCCCCCCTCCACCTCCCCCCCCCCCCCGCAAAACAACACAGCGTGAAACAATGAATGTGAAACCGTGATGTTTATTACATGCAAACATCTCTTTTATTAGCCTTTGCAACGCCACCCATCCGCGTCTCCATGGCAATGCTCCGCACTGCACTCCCTTTGCCGTAGGGGTTGGGGCAGTGCCAAGTAGGTCACGCCTTCCCTCGCAGTACACAGTGATGCCACTCTCTCTCTCGCCTCACCCTATCGAACGCTCACAATGTTCGAGCGCATATCGAGTGAACACTCTCTTGGCTCGTTAATCTGCGATAGAGAGGACGACGGAAAGTGAAGCTCCTTCGTCCACCAAAACATGCACCAAAGCGATTTGGCCTAACCCGGCTGTCCCCAGCATTACGAGGGTTAGCAGAGTCGACCGCGTTCGTGAATGACGACATCACGCTTGCAACACCGCAAATCAAAAACGCCGATCGCGTCCATGCGCAATGCTGCTGCTTCGCATCCTATCAGGGTTCCCTTTGGGAAGATGTCAGTTTTTTTAAACCCTCAGCTATTACTTCTGGAAAGCAAAGGGGCGGACATGTATTGTGGCGTAGCCGCTTCACAGTGAGTCTCACGACCGCAAGGCCATCAGCGATGCGCCCACTAAAGCTGCGCGTATTAAAACCGAATGGCAGCTGCTACGGTCAGGAGACATGCTTTTATTATTGTGATCACAATTCTTTAAAAAAAAAAGGAGGCAAAAAAACCACAGCATATCCACGGACTGAATGATGATGAGTGGGCCGAAGCGTTCATCTGTCCGTTAATGGATCTGTCCGTACGTCCAACCGTGGGTCGATCTGTCCCTCCGTGCGCCTGTCTGTCTGTATGTCCATCCGTCTGGTGAACACTACATATACCACCATCTCGCATCTTTTCATCATATATTGATTGCATACAAGTACCCCCATCTAGCGGACATTCCAAGAACTAAACGAGAGGTGGCTACCTACTACATACAACGAGAACACACGACCCACGGCTTAGGGGAGTTTTGAAATTCCTAGAACCCGCGCTCGTACCGCGGGTCTTCACGCCCCTGCCGTGCCGATTCGGCCTCCCGTACTCGTACTTCAGGGTCGCTTTTTCGAGTGTGAGCCGCCGCCGCCCTGCGCACACGCCTATCGGCAGCCTTCTCTATCCACCGTCGACGAGCGTCTGTTAGCACGCCCATTAAGCGGTGCTTTTATTGTACTATAGAGCACCCCCTAGCGCACGGCGCCGCCAAAGAACACGTGATCACAGTGGCGCGATTGTCTTTCTCTCCTTCCGTAAGTGTTCTCTCTTTCTGTACACGACTGGATGACGGAGCGTTATCTATAGCTGGACTGGAGACTCAACAAGCGGTGGTTACAAACGATAACGGGAGAAGAACGGGTGATACCATAAGGAGCTTTGCCCCTAAAAACTGCATTCAGACCCTAGCACTCCCAACCTCTAACGGCGTACGGTCATTTAGGGCAAGGAGTTAATATGAACTCTATGTTTTAGGGCCCGGCCATTTACCACAAGAGCAATTACGAACGCGGTTGTGCTGGTGGAAAGAATTGCAAAAAAACTCTTCTGAAGAAAAATCCATGCATAAATTGAAGTTGAGGAAAAGTGGCGACGTGTTATGTGGATGAGAATTGTGAGAATATTGGATCCACATGTCCAGAAACAGACGCGACAAAAATTCTGGCAGCATGCATGCAGTTATTAGTGCAAATTGCTTTAATTATGTGCACTGCTGCTCTTCAAACGAGTTATCAGCAAATGGACAATGTCCGCTGATGAATCACCGCAACATTTACACACTATCGATTGGAATACAAGTGATGAGCCCCTATAGCTGCAGAGAGCGTGTTTTGCCGTTGAGCCGACTTGCACAACAGAAGTTGCGTCGGCACCAAGCAGAGAATCGTGAATTATTTGGGACACACTTGCGACCGCTTTTTATACAGCGGAATAATTCTAGGTACGTGGTTGTGACTTGTATGATCCCGAGAACAAGCTGCACACGTTTTGACGTGTTGGTGTGGCTATTACCGGTGATAGACGCTTCCAAATCGGACTCTGGCACAGTTTGGCCCAATTTCCGTTGATATTATCAGGATGGTGCAGTAAATTTGATTTGGCACACTTTGGCTCAGTTGGCGCACGAGTGGAATCACTGAAAAATCATTAGGTACTGTCGCAAGAACTCATGTGCTGCAGAATTCAAACGCAACCTAAAGTTTTCTTTGTTTTAATGAACAATGAGTTAGTAGAAATACATAGTAAAATCTAATAACTTTATTTTTTTTGTGTTCCCAGGTGATGACCTTCCAACATGCTCCCTAGGATCGAAAGGATGCAACAAAATTTCGCAGACTGAAAAGAAGTACTCAGTGAATATTCAAGATATTAACGAGCCACAACGTCATCTACTTTTGCTTCGTGCAAAGCAAAAG